CAGGCTACGCCATGTGTACCGTAGGTGCTACATTTGGTTTTGACTACAGATGGTTGGCTTTTTCCCAGATCAATTCACTGCCTCCTCCCAGCCAGCAGGAGCTCATTCAAGACAACCCTGAACAACAGGACTGCAAGGAGACCTGGTGCCCAATTAAATTCTGCCACAGTGCAGATGGCTCTGTGAGTGTAGCTGGCTCTCTAAATGATAATAGAACATAGTCCTTTCTTTTATAGCCATGCCCCCCAATAGCTTTATAAAATTAGGCAAAATAAGGTAAGTTCTGGTGGCTGGCCTTGAAGGCCTCCAGGACACAGTCTCGGGCCAGGTTTTCCTCCTTAAGAAACATACTGAGGACTCCTGATTTTTTAATGAGGTTTTCAGTGGATTGGAGACTTTGTAATCTCCCCTCCCCACCCCCAGCAGCCTTTCCTACATTGAAGTTCCCTCCTTGGTGGTCCCCTCTGCACAGTGGCCGCTTCCTCGGGGCCACGAAGGAGCTAAATGCCAAGCCCACTCTCCTCCACCATCTCCTCTCTCCTAAGCTTGCCCTCGTATGATGGGCAGCTGGCCTTGATGGACATGCATAGCCAGTGTCAAAACAGAAGGCTTCTCTCAAGGTCAGTGAGCTGGAGTTAGACCTTGGAAATGTGGAACAATAGCCAAAATCATTTCTACCACCAGGACCCAGAACATGCGTTTTGATAAAGCGGCACTGAGAAACTCTATCTTCAAGAGAAAGCAAGGCCAGTCTGATACAGAGAGTTCACAGATGGATGCGTAGTTTGTCATAGAAGTTTTAAGTGAGATCCAGAAGGTTCTTCCAGCTGGAGATTCTTATTAGCATCAAAATAAGAGCCCCAGCAGCAGACCCCTGAATGTCTGACCCAGAGAGCTCCTCCTCCCAGAGGTGCCATCACACCCTCTGGGCACTCTTTCCTGGAGAGCCACCGAGGGTGCTTTCCCAGACCCCCAGGTGCTGCCAGGCAGTCCCCGCTCTGCTCTGGCTGGTCACCGCGCTGAGCAGGAGGCACTGGGAACGGGCTCGCCAGGGAAGCATTTTCAGAGGAATGTCTGCTGCCGGGGCCCCGACTCACTACATCATTACCGGAAGGTCCTCCAGGCTCCTCTGACTGGGACACATTCCAGACGCCCTGCCCAATCTGCCCCATCAAGGTGGGAGGTCGCTCTGATGTGCCATTCCACCTTCTCCTTCTGACAACAGCAATGGATGGCTGGTGTTAATCCTCCCAGGCACCCACGGTGGGTTTGGGAAAGAGCCCTGTGCATTCTTCTCACCAGCTGAGCATGTTAAGGAGGAACAGGAAAGGCCTCAAGAGCCAGTGGGCCTAGCAAAGTTCCCAGTCAATCCATCACCTGCCTCCTCCGCAGAGGGCCTGCCAGCCCAGGCACAGGCCGGGCAGGTGGGAGAGGGCTGCGCAGCAGTGAGGAGGTCAGAGTCCTGTCTGTGCGAGTCTCCTGGAGTCTGTGTGTATGAGTGTGTGTGTGTGTGTCTGTGTGTGTGTGTGTGTTGGTGTGTGTGCGCGCGCCCGTCTAAGAACAGAGACAGGACTACTAACAGAAGAGCCGGTGAGAGGGCGTGGGAGACTGAGAACTTATTTATAAAAGCTTCTCTGCCCTAAAGCAAGTCAAACTCCCCGCTGCGGAGCTGCTTTTTCTTCCTCCCTTTGAGTCCTGTGTGCTGAGCTGACCTCCCCGGCAGAGGTCAGCGCTCTGCTCACCCCGTGTGCACCCGGCCTTCTGGGGCTCGGTCGCCTTAGAAGCCTGAGGAGGAGAGAATTCTTCAGCTCTAATTTTTTAGAGAAAAGCTGTAGTAAATCTCGAGAAGAAGCTGGTCTTTTTTTTTTTTTTTAAGAAATATATATGTTACGATCTTTTGGGAACTGGCGAACACAAAAAGCAAACATGAGACTACATCACCAGAGTCCCCTCCCACAGCCAATTTCACCCCCTAAAATAAATCAGGCTGCGGAATGAATGAGGTTTTAAGAAATGTAACTGAACTTAAAATACAAGGTCAGCATCTCATCCTAGGTAATCCTTCGGAGGATGAGAAATTCTCCTGGTTTTCCCACAGGGTTATTTCAGATGTGCTTTCTGAGCCAAACTATTTTAAAAGCATTCATTCTTTCCCTGCAAGCCAAATGGGAACTTGAGATTCACATGCACTTTTTGAGAGCTTATTAATGATATTAATGATCATGGATCAAAGGCAAACCCCAGACAATTATTTAGGTGCTTTCAAAACTCATCTTCTGGGGGAGGGAAAAACTTCAGTGCTGCGTGCGGATGAGGAAGCTGTGGGCTGGTGCGCTGGGCCCAAAGCAGCATAACTAGGACAAAACAGAACACATCTCTCTGCATGGTTAACCCGTACACCCATTGCCACCGTGTCACCAAAGCCTTTCCTATTCCTGAAGCAGGTACACTTCAGATTTAGAAGGTACAGTATCCTTCTAAAGCAGGGGTCCTCAAACTACGGCCCGCGGGCCACATGCAAATACAAATATTGTATTTGTTCCCGTTTTGTTTTTTTACTTCAAAATAAGATATGTGCAGTGTGCATAGGAATTTGTTCATAGTTTTTTTTAAAACTATAGTCCGGCCCTCCAACGGTCTGAGGGACAGTGAACTGGCCCCCTGTTTAAAAAGTTTGAGGACCCCTGTTCTAAAGGATACTCAGCTGTTAGCAGACCCTCTTTGAACGTCCAGTGTTTACACACACACCACTACATTTTTCTGCAATAGTTCAACAATGGCTTTTAGTTAGAATCATTATTTGAGGACCTCTTAAAACTTCCAATGCCCAGACCATTATCTCAAGGATTCTGATTTAAGTAGAAGCTACACAGGTAATTCCAATGAACCTGTTTTTAAACAGATGGAGACATTATCACATGGGAGTTGTATGTTTACCTCAGAAATCCTCAGAGGCAAGTGCAGCACTTAAAATATTAGAGATCATTTTATTTGACAAATGAAGAAACTGAGGCCCAGGACTTGTTAAATGACTTGCCCCCAAACACACAAGCCCATCAGTGGCAGAGGCAGCTGGACCCAGGGTTTGAGCCCATCTTTCGGGCTCCGATCCCCAGCCCAGGCTGGGGCCCTGGGCAGGGCATCTTCTCTGTGGGCTAGGCCACATGGCACGCCGCCACGCCCAATACACGAGGAAATGGGCTTTGCGTCATCCATTGCCGTGGTTCTCAGCATTCCATGCAGTTATTCAAATGTATTATTCCAACCTGATATTGAAATGCGTCTGAAAAATTATGTACAGGACCCGAGGGAAAATATATTTACAAGCAACCAGAGAGGCCTGGGATCCTGTCATAAAAGGCAGTGGGAGTCGGCCAGGACTTCACTCAGTGCTGAATAAGGACGAGACCCACGTAGAAAATGGAAATGAATCCCCTTGGGAAATGTCAAGATTCTCTGGAAAGGAATCAAGGTCGAATTCTTTAACCCCTCACACGAGGGTTTATCTTAGCTCACAACTGAGAGCAGAAGTGGGAAATATCTGAGTTGGAAAGACCACCCCCAAATCTTAGAGGCCAATTTAATCACATCCCACACAGGGTTTTTAAAATCTAAATCTTTAGGACCAATGGTTCAAACTCAGAGCTCCTTTGATTATTTTAACCCAGTATTCAAAATCTCAGACTTGCTTCATGGAGAAAAAAAATGTCTCCAACACATAGAATGTAATTTTAAATAGCGTGTTCAGAAAAGGGTATTTTAGATGTACAGTCCTCGTGGTTAATTAACTTATTTGAAGAAAAGTGATACATACAAATTTAATTTTTTTAAACAATTTTCCTTTTTAATTCATAAAAGAGGTTGATTTCCACTACATACTGCTTTCATCCCCTAGGCATGTACAACTATTGAAATCGCTTAAACAAGTGAGAGGACAAGGCCAATGCTAAAGAAGAGCTCCCCTGGGCTTACTGCAGTGTCCGGCTGTCTAACTTGACTGAAGAAAGTTACTTTGGGGATCTGGCAAATCATTACCTACAGTCTCCTGATATGATGCTTGGGGGTCAAGTGTATCAACATTTTTGATAAGTGACTGTAATGGCAATTATAAGGTAGCACATGGTAATATCATGCTGATTAATGAAACTTATTTAAATGTAATTGAATTCAAGCCCAGTACTGAGTAGTTCTCCACAAGTAGAGGCAATAATTTCACCCACTCAAGTCCCCTCTGTCAAGTTACACATAGACATATATTTTTTCCCTGTCTTGTTAAATACAAAACCCCAATGAGAGGAGGTTCAGCAGATTTCTGAGAATTTTAATTATATCATTAAATTGTAATTCCAATAATATATATGGTTAGACTTCTGTTCTGAGTAATTAACTGAATTAACTTCATGTGACAATGCTTAATTTATGTTGTACCAAGGAAGGCTTTAAACCATTTAACAGAAATCAGCTTAATTTTGATTTTTTTTTCTTGTGCCAACGTGTTTCAATTCATTAGTGTTTCAGTAACAAGGAATGAATTCTCTCGTCTTAACAGACCAAGCATGGACATTTCCCCATAAGAGAAAAAGAGAAATTGAAGTGACTTCCATATTCAAGTCACAGCATGCTGAGCAGAGAGTTACTGGCTCTTAGGAAAGCCATTTGTTACCTCAAAAGGAGGGCGCATCACTAGAATTTTGTGGAAATACTACAGTGGGGCCTGCCAAGAAGGAACGCGAGGAAACTGAGAGCAGCGACGCCATGGTCCCAGGCCATTCTCCTGGGCAGAGTTTCCTTCCCTTCCTGCTCTGCCCTCAGCAAGCTCTTTGTGAATCAGAGGCCACCAAGTGCACAGCAATTCACGCTAAAATCCACACATGGCACAAAAGCAAACAATTAACTTGTTGTCCCCAAAATATATCTTGAGATACCTCGTGCAGAGATGCTATATTCTCCATAAATCAAAACATAGAGGGGTTCTGTGACTCTTGCTTTTTACAAAATGAGAAACATCTTCCTACTTTTTTCAATAGTAAAAAAAATATGAACAAAAAAGCTGCAGCACTCACTCCTCTCTCCCCCATCATTTGCTCATTGGCATTTAACAATTTATATGCATCTCTGGTGGACAGTTAACCTCCACTGGCAAAGGAAAGAAAAATGTGTAAGAAAAATCACAGACTATTCTCAGACATTTCTTGTTTATGGACATAAAAAAACAACCACCACAACAAAACGAAACAAAGCAATACCTAACACCAATCTATTAAAAAGTCATTTGAAAGCACATGGAGGTGACCTAGAAGTCACAACGCTGAGAAAGTTAAGGAGTTCAAAGTCATAACATTAATCAAATTGGATCCACATTTCTTCTAAGCATCAGAGTTACGGGGACTTGAATATACATTTAATCTGGGTTATTAAGTAAGTGGTTGAATGACTTGTCCCTTTTTGACTAAGTATACTGACAGGGTCTCAGATTTTCAGTGACTGATTTACTAAGATTATTAAAAATAACAAAACACACACCACTCCCAGCAATAGAGGACTCTTCATTTCCCACCTAATATGCAACAGGAATACCTGGCAGCCATTTTCCCTTTTGTACTTCCAAATATCCAAAGAATCACATGACCATTCTAGTAATAGGAGCCCCGGGGTGGTCTCAGACATGGAGAAGAAGAACGTTCAGAGGCAGAACTCCCCAAACACATGCTGAGGTGAGGAAGTGGAGACGGCCGGCCATTAATCCTGTTAAAACCCTGTGTGCACAACGGCAGTGAGAAAGACCATGTCCATCTGCCACCAACGAAGCTCTTTTCCCTTTTGCATCACAATAACTGTTATTTGCATAAATACACCAAACTCTAAAGCCAAGACTTTACTTGAAAGAAAGTCATTAAAAGTATAAGAATGGACTTTAACCATCAGGCCCAGGTTAACTAATGAAATAAAAACTTCTCAATACAGACTTTTTCTGGTGCTTCGGGCTCAAACATCTTCTAGTTCTAAAGCTACTGTTCTGGAATGGCTATCTTTATTCTAGACTGTTCCAGGGAGCTTACTGTTTCTTGGCTTATCACCTGGTCATTTGTGACCCCTCTGATGAAACCATCCCAATACTTGTTTCTGTTTAAAACCCTCAGTGACACCCTGTGGTTCTGTCTTCAGTGAAGAGCAGGCCTAGCTTCCTGGCCACTCTGAGAGAGGCCCACAGTGGGCCACAGAAATCCACGCTCTACCACGAGCTCAGGTGTGCGTTCTGTGCAGTGTAGCCCTGTTGATGAGCAGAATCTGCTCACTGTGGTCCACATTCTGTTGGGCTCCCTCTTCTCCTACAGAATCATTTCGTGGGAATTAACTGGGGGAGGACATAAACTAGGAGGGAAGAGGAAAAGATACCAGTGGGTAGAGCCATGGTCCTAGTGGGGGTGGTGAGGCTGGGACCACAGGAAGGGGACAGGTTTCCAGGCAGGGTTTGGAACATCAAAGGAAGAGCATCTATATCCATCGACAGATGTGGTGACCATGACTGAACTTCATGACTGAAAATGCTACCATGAAAATGGTTGCTGTCTTCCCCTCCTATGCAAGTGGGGAAGGAGACGTGGGGAGGATAGAATGAACTGAGAGAAACCACTGATTAGTCTTAGGCATGGACTTACACTGTCTGCGTCCATATTCTTACATTTTGTTGGGCTTTTTCTGCGAATTCCAACACTTTTGGGAATATACTGATTCTGTTGTTACTAGGGAGGGGCTATTTCAAAGGACCACCCAATGTTGAACTGAAAAAAAGATGTAGTTGATGGGTGCTTTGAAGATGATTTCTTCCCTATTTTAGAATGAATTCAGTTACGAAAGTCTTTAGTAGGTGTCCATCCAAAATAAGTTGTTGCTATGAGTCACTACGTGACATTTCAGCCAGCCCACTGGAGAACTTAGTGGATATGACTGCAAATCGAAGACTCCTGTTTTGAAACTTAAACTGTCTGTGAAGCCTTCCAAATGGGAAACAGGAAACTCTGGCCATGGAGTTCCCCGCGGGTTCTAGTCCATCCTGAACCTAACCAAAATCTTAGAGGTAGGGGCAGGGATAGGCCTGAGCTACAAGCAAGAACAAGGCTCTGCCATGTCTTCTAGCGCTGGACCAAATTACCTGTGAAAGGTCTTGTGATTCTTAGGGTAAGTAACAGCTCTCTAGGTGCTGTGGAAGCCATAACACCTAGGAACAGTGACTCACACATTGAGTTCAGGTGCTTTACAAGTATGTACCTGTCCACATGTGGTCCAGCAGATGAGCAGGAGGCCACGCTCACCAGGCTGGTGAAAATAAATGCTAGGGAGTCTCCAATTAGTATGGTGGGTCCGGACTGAGCATGTTTCAGAATCACTCAGTAGGTCTGAGGTGGGGCCTAAGCTCTGCGTTTCTAACACATTTTCCGACGATGCTGGTGCAGGACTAGCTGCTGAGAACCACCAGCCTGCTCTTTCACGGGCCCCCTACTCAACCAAGGAGCAGGAGGATACACTGCACCCAGTACCAACATGCCCTTCTTTTTTTCTTTAAATATTTTTATTGATTTCAGAGAGGAAGGTAGAGGGAGAGAGGGATAGAAACATCAATGATGAGAGAGAATCATCGATCAGCTGCCTCCTGCAAGCCCCCTAGTGAGCATTGAGCCGGCAACCCAGGGATGTGCCCTGACTGGGAATCGAACTGTGATAGGTCGATGTTCAACCACTGAGCAACACCACTGGGCTTCGCGCTGTTCTTCAGGAGTGGGGTCGTCTCTGACAAAGCGAAAGGATGTTTATCATTAAAATAATTTTCTGAAGGCAGTTACACAATTTGATGAGAAGGTAGCCATGTTGTTAGAACAAGCAGATAGGATCCTGGAGGTGACTTCTTTGAAAGCTAACCCCAACAAAGAGATACATTTTTCTTTTTAAAAAAGTCATTCTAATTCCTTTGAAATCACAGCATCTACACATACTTCTCATTTTTCGCAGGTTTGGCCACTATATCCCTCAACCACAACTTTGCAATCCTCTTTAGTAAGTCAGTGGCCTCTTTCAGACTTCTTCCTTTTTTTGGTTGGGCTGCCCTGGATTGTAGCTAATCTTTCAGTGTTGGTGGCTGAGCCGGTTTGGTCGGCCTTCCCTGGCTCAATTTTCATAAGATGTCTGGAGGAGAAATTTTCCAAAACATGCAACTCTTCATTAGACATGGCTTTTGCCAAATCCTCTTTCAAAAGTAACCCCGGATCTGACAGCTCTGATGTTGGCAAAACCCCGACAGCTTTGCTTGTTCCCGCTCTCATTTCTCGCGGGAGGAATGGATCACTTCCAAGAGAGACTCTCTTGCAGTGGTCGGAGCCCTGCGCAGAGCCGCGGGGCCTGCGTTTCTGCTGTGCTCGGGCTCCTCGTGGACTTTGTTTTGGACCCGGTGCTGCTGACTCACAGCTCCAGACAGCGCTCCCGCTCTGAAGCCCCGTCTGTAACCACGCCCCAGGATGAGGTTTGTGCTGGCTGCCGGTGTCCTCTGGCTGGGTCTGATGAACATGTTCCAGCTTTTGAACAGAGAGCCCCCAGTGGCTCTCAGCTGCCTGTGTGCAATCCTCTGCTTGCCCCGAGGACTCCGGAGGGGCACTGGAGGAAGCCTGGCTGTCACCTCTTCTCACTGCCATCTCTGCAACCACTGAGTCACTCGATGTTCCCACAATGTCCCTGCTGCCCTGTGATTTGCTCATGCTGCTGCTTTTTGTTTCAGCTCTTTTCATGCTAAAAAAAAAAAAGACTTTGTTTTGTAATGCTGTAATGGCATGGTTTCCTCCAAATTCCCCTACCACATTTCCTATGCCTGAAAAAGGAAGGCATGCACTACCCCCTTCTCCTTATCTCCCGGCAAATCTAGAAGAATCCCCAAGTGTATGTTTGACTGCAGACTGGACCAAGCAATAGCCTTCACCTTTTTCAATACACTGGGATACACCAGGAAACACTTTATTTACTGATCACTGGGTTATTGATGGAGTTCATATTTTAACGAAGGCAGACGTATTCATTTCAGATATTAAGGGTCAATTTGATACATTGACCTCCCTCCCCCAAAATAAATGCTCAAATACACCCAAAGCAGAGGTTGTGTTTATGTGTGTCTCTATGTGTATGTGTACAAGAACATGCTTATACACGTACAGACACACACACGATTTCTCTTTGTAAGTAAAATAATCTTCTGGAATTTCTCTCAGGCCATTTCAAGGTATTACTCAAATATAAGCACCATTTAGCTGGTGTCAAGGCTTGTTCATTAACCATTGGAAACAGGATTCAGTTAATAAACCTTGAAATGTCCTGGAAGAAATTCCAGAGAGTATGTAAGGAGAGAGAATGGAAACATGGCAGACAAAAGAGTGTGTACACACACACACACACACACACACATGCACCTTTTCTACAGCATACACAGCAGACAATGCAAAACTCACAGGTTGAAAATTACTTTGAGGGACAGGATAAAAGCTTCATGGGAAGAATTTAGAAACTATAGACTGACTTCAACATATATTTTCAGGCTTGTGAATGGCAAAAAATTGCTAAACCACCGAACTCAAAACCTTGAAGCTGAAATATTTATTTTGGCTAAGCTTTAGTCTGGAGAGAAATATATAGATTCATGTTTGTACTGTTGCTTTCCGGGGCAGGAGGATTATGATAATTATGTTAGGGTCGGAACAAGCACCTTAGAAAAGGAATGCATTTTTTTAGATCTGTCTGTAGTCACTCTGAAAGTTGTATGAAACACACCACCAACAGGTGCTTTTCATCTTCAAAGCGCTTGTAATTAATTAGTCCTTGCAACACACCTGTGAAGCAAGGCTTTGGTTCCTGTTGTCCAGAAAGCAAGAGAAAGAGAGGCAGGAAGGTGGAAGAGCAAGTATGTGACTTAAGGTAGGCTTGCTGCCAAGGGCTGTGATTAAGTTCCATGTACTCTTGTTGGATTCTCCATTTCATGTTATGTATCCACACACACAGACAGTCAAACACGAGGAAAAGGAAACACATTGGACCTACATTGCTTTCAGAGCACTTCTCTTGCGCTTTGCACTGGGAGGAAGTGGACCCTCTGCACACTCAGCAAAATAACCAGACGCTCCGTGGAGAGCTCTTCCCGTCTATTCCAAAAGATAACAAAGGTTCAAACAAATCTATTAGCTGAACAGGAGAAAAAGCGGTTATGCTCTGACCCTCCCAGTGAACACACTGATTTTTGTGAGGACTATATGAAACTGCTTAGTGTTAGGCTATTTGAATTTTTAAAAATCTACCACTTTTTGGTAAGTTGTCACTTCTTTTGGGCTCTCAGCACACACACTTCATACATTAATATGCACCACAAACATACAAGACTGTGATGGAAAGAATGTTGATTCCAAACCATCTGGGGATTCTTGGCCAATACATGGTATCTCTGAGCCCAAATCATGCTGATGCCCAGAGCCACGATGCCAGGCAGCAGCGTGTTTGCCAGCTCTCATCTTCCGGAGAGGCCTGGTGGTGCAGTGGTCTGAACCTGATTATACTGAGAATTCCCCACATTTCCTCTTGTTATGAAAATACAGAATATGGCCTTTGCAACACTCAAGAATGTATCACAAGGTAAACCTTCTAACACCGGTACTTTAAAAACTAGTTTGAGAATCTCAGCTACTAAAAAACTGGGAGTGTTGTTTTTATTTTTTCTTAAATGAACAGCATCACTATGGCTTTGTATAATTCAGAGTATCTGTCTACCTATCCTTATATGTTCCCTTAGAAGCATCATTAGGAAGCAGTTATAAAGTATGAAAACCTCTCAACCTTCACCAATATGGACTCATTTCCTACTTTGGAACTGTTCCCTTTTTGCCAGCAAATAGATAATTCAGACAAAGCATTAACCTCTCTCATTTTCTGGGACACCAAGTACCCTTCTCCATCAAATTCCACAGTAAAATGTTGCTGCCACAGGAACAGTTTTGGTAAATTATCATGAGTTTCTTGCATTAGACTTATATTGGAATGAACGATGACAGCCCCAGGGAGCCTGGGAGAGCCATTGGTGGAATGCCTGGGTGTCCCACATCCCATCACAGCCCTGCCTATGGTCTCAGACCTGGACCAGCGTCACCCAAAGTCATATCCAGTACAACTTACGTCAGTTTTAAGAGTTAGTGAACAAATTATTACAGGTCTTTTTGGATATACTGCATTTTGATATTCTCCCTTTCCCCCCTTCTACGACTTACTAGTTGACCAAAAAGAACTACAGTTTGAAAGTTAAATGAGAGAGATTGAGATTTATGTGTGAAACACTTCTAAACATGCCCTGTAAGTACAGTAGATTTTCCCCTTACAACCACACCCTGTAAGTGCTGTATTTTCAGAGCTGAACAATTAACATAAGGAGCATGAGTCAGGCTTTGAACAACTCTGTGGGAACCAGAAAGCCTTTTGCTATTAGGAATGATGTAAATTCCCCAAGGCTGGAAGAAGTCCACAATGGAAGGCAGACAGGGTCATAAATAACAACAATGGATACTGCGGGGAGCATAGAAAGTGGGATGCGTGATCGTGACACTTTGAGCCTTATACTGGCTTCAATCACACTCTCATGTATTTACTGTAAAACTTAGTTTGAAAAGCACTATGTATTTCCTATGGGAACTTCAAAAACTTCTTAAAGAAACAGGACGATCCCCTCTCATCCCAAATTCCTCAGATGACAAACAATGGGGGAAACGTCCTTGAAAGAAAAAGGACAACAGAAAAAGTGAGGGAGTGACAGACGGAAATGTCCAGTTCAAAAAGTGCAAAACCTGTGTCTTCGTTTGAAAAAAAAAAGAAGAGGAAAGAGAAAGAAGAAAGAAAAGAGGCAAGGCGGGCTCACACAAATTAAAACCACATTTGACAATTTGTTGCAGGAGGCATATTTACATTTGTATGAAGACTGGGTGGGCAGGGAGAAAAAGATTAGGCTCCTTCGGCCCTTGAACTGTCAGGTCTCATTAGAAAGCTCTCACTCTTGCATGTCTAGGGTCAATTCATTCCCTTTGTCACTAACTCCCAGCCCTGGTGCCCCCCAGACAAGTCCTCCAGAGGAAGCACTACCACCTGGGAACCGGACTTCCCAGGCCAGTCATCCTGATTACTAACAGCCTCTCACATCTGGCATCAAAATGCAATCTATGGCTTATCCAGAGGCAAAACTCTCAGGTGCAGATAGTGTGCTGGGGTTTCAAGTGCCTCTCAGGCATCCCAGGATGACACTCCTTTCTGGATTCTGCCCTGATAACTTCTACCAAGAATACAGAAAAACACCAACATAATTAAAAAGGATACCAGTTGGCCATCCAAAGCACCCCATGGGTATTTAAGAAACAGGTTAACCAAGATGACCTCTTTGGGCCTGCGTGAATGAGTCCTCAGAACCTGGAAGCTAGCTTTGAGTCTGCCAAGGAATAAAGTTCTGCAAATGTCATTTCCTAGGGCAAGGCCACTAGCCCCAGAAGGAATCTAATCTAGGCATACCCTCCTTGGCAGCTTGAGCAGACCAGGCAGACTTCCAGACAAGTGGTCAGGCCTTGTGCCCCTGCTTGGGGATGCTCTGGAGACCAGGGTGAGCTGGGCAACTAAGACTCACTTCCTGCCTCTAGTCTGAGCATGAGCAAGGTTGAAATGTAGTTATAAATCTCAAGTTACAAAGGCAAGTTGAAACTGTGAATAAATCCAGGCAGTCACTCCACAGTGACTTACCGAATACTATTTTTTCTCCACAGTATACTTACAGAATACTGTTGAATTAACCTGGGATGGGGAGAGAAACTGGCCTAAAAAGACATAAAGCACCTGCTCTTGAGTTTATTACCTCCTCGAGGAGTCCATAAAACACAGCTGGGCTCCCAAAGGCTAGTGAGAAGACTGGCTAGCAGACTCAGTATCAGAAGCACTGAGAGGTTTTTTAAAAAAACAGATTCCCAGGACCCATCCCTGGAAGTTCTGATTCACAAAATCTGGGGTGGGGCTAAGAGATCTATATGTAGGTTCCTAGGTAATTCAAGAACTGCTGATTCACTGGAAACAACATTCAACCAAGCAAAGAAATGTAACAAATGTAAACTGGTTCAATGAGGCAGCATTTGCCAAGTGTGGTCCAGTTACCTCAGACATCAAAATCAACTGGGGGGCTTGATAAAAAATGTTCTGGGTTCTCCCGCAGAATCCACTGTGTTCACCTCTCTGGGGGTGAGGTCAAGGCAAGTGCATTTTAGTAAAGCGCCCCAGTGATTCTGATGCCCAGCAGAATTAAACTTCTGTCCTGCCGAACCTGTTTGGCTCAGTGGATAGAGCGTCGGCCTGCGGACTCAAGGGTCCCGGGTTCGATTCCGGTCAAGGGCATGTACCTTGGTTGTGATCAAAATCAACTGGGGGGCTTGATAAAAAATGTTCTGGGTTCTCCCGCAGAATCCACTGTGTTCACCTCTCTCCCTCTCCCTTCCTCTCTGTAAAAAATCAATAAAATATATTTTTTTAAAAATTAAAAAAAAATAAACTTCTGTCCTAAAGGGACCAGGAATGGATAACTGAGCAGAGTTCAGCAGAACCACTGAACTCTGCACCAGGCACTGTGAGGACCTTGTGGAAAAGGGCAAGACCCACAGAAACTGGCCCTGCTCTCATGAAGACACCCTCCCAATGGGGAAGACAAGAAACAAACAAGCCTATGCTAGGTGATGGTGACATTAGGAAGAAAATAACCCTCTAAAGGGTCATGGGGTGCTGTTTTAGATGTGGTCAGGGAGGGTGGTGGTAGCTAACAAGGTGAGCTTTACCCAGAGACTCAAGTGGCGAGAACAAGCCAGGTAAACATATAGGACAGGGCATTTCAGGCAGGGAGAAGCATGAACACTCAGGCTGTGAAGACAAAGAGTGCCTGGAAGCAGGGAAAACAGGAAAGCAAATCAGAGGAAGGGGTCAGTGAGCAGGTAAGAGGGGTACGTGTGTGTGCGCGTGCACGTGCACATTAGTGGTAGTGGGGGTGGCAAATCGTGCATAGCTTTTTTAAAGACAGCATATTTTATTGTGAGGAAGTTTCCAAGAAGAAAATGGACTTGATATTTTAAAAGGATTATCTTGGCTAAGAAAACAATCTCACTTACAATTGCCTCAGAAAAAAACCCCGAAACACCTAGGAATAAATTTAATCAAGGATATAAAAGACCTATACTTGGAAAATTATAGGATATTGAAAAAAGAAACTGAGGAAGATACAAATAAGTGGAAGCATATGCCATATTCATTGATTGGAAGAATTAACATCGTTAAATATTCATACTACCCAAAGCAATTTGTAGATTCAATGTGAAGATACCAATGGAACATTTCACAGAACTAGAATATTCCAAAAATGTATATGGAACCATAAAAGACCCCAAACAGCAACAGTGATCTTGAGAAAGAAGAACAAAGTTGGAGGAATCACACTACCTAATATCAAATTATACTACAAGGCCATTGTAATCAAAACAGCATAGTACTGGCATAAAAATGGGCATATAGATAAATGGAACAGAATAGAGAGCACAGAAATAAACCCACACCTTTATAGTCAATTAATATTTGACAAAGGAGACACAAACATACAACGGGATTAAGATAGTCTATTCAATTAATGGTGTTGGGCAAATTTGACAGATATATGCAAAGAAAAAGTTGACGACCTTCCTAAACCATACACAAGAATAGTTTAAAGACTAAAAATGGATTAAAGACTTAAATGTTAGACTCGAAACTCTAAAAATCCTAGAAGAAAACATAGGAAATAAGATCTTGAACACTTCTCATAGCAATATTTTCTTCTGATATATCACCTCGGGCAAGTGAAATAAAAGAAAAAAATAAACAAAATGGGACTACATCAAACTAAAAAGTTTTTGCACAGCAAAGGAAACCATTAACAAAATGAAAAGAGGTAATATGGAATGAGAGTACATATATGCCAATGATATATCTGATAAGGGGTTAATATCTAAAATATATAAAGAACTTATACAACTCAATACCAGGAAGACAAACAACCTAATTAAAAAATTGGCAAGGATCTGAATAGACACCCCTCCAAAGAGGACATACAGAT